CTTGTATGAAAACATAAAAAATTATTTTTAAATATTAAAAATCATATGTTAACTTCCCATAGTTTTCATTTATCACCATGTTACATCTTTTACTAAAATAAAAATTTTCTTACCTACAATAGATAAGATGACAACTACAAAATCAAAAATATTCCAGCCTATGGTAAAATAATAATAGCGGAGTGAAATCAGTTTCAAGACACATTCTCCAGTGAAAAGGACTATGAAGATCAGATTAATTCGATACAAAATTGTTTCCATTGCATCAGTTTGGTCATCAGTTTCTACCATCATAGTAACCATGTTAAGGCAGATAAGAATCATGATGCTGATGTCAAAGGCTTGTTTTGTTACGAAATCAAAGACCATGCCTTGGAATTTGTTCTGTAGTTGAAAAAAATAAGGATTATCCATGTATCTCATGATCAGTTACACACAATTATAATCTATATAATTATCATTTATGATCTGAAACTTCTGTAAACTCATTCTATAGTATACTAGTCAAACTGCATAGAAAGATGGCACAGTAAGAAAGAATGCCACTATGTTCCTGGGAAGTCAGATAATACTCCGTAAGTGTGAAGTAACAATAGCTTTCCTATGGGATTTCATAGTCTCATTCTTTACCTGAATGAGATAGGAAGACCACAACAGTTACTGCACTAACCCTGTTTTGATTTGTTAATGCTAGATAGGGTTGGTCAGCCTCAAACTCATTTGAATATAGCCTTCAGAGCTCTTCTGATGCTACTGCCTAATTTTGGTGGCATGATTATTGAAAACTGGTGGCATGGTTTTCCAACCTGTTTAAGGTAGAAATCCTTGAAAACTGGAGCATAATCCCTAAATAGGCTTAACATAGTTTAAGAAAAGAAAGGAAGAAACTTCTCTCCAAAATGGAAAATGCCCATATGATGTCATTATCCCACCTCCCTACCCCTCCATGGGCACTGTCCATCTCAGTGTTTTAAGTAAGGCCCTTGCTAATAATAATAATAATAATAAT